AGCCTTCACTGAGCTACATTCCTAGCCCTTTTTAAATTTCTTACTTTGAGACAGGGTCGTGCTAAACTGCAGTTAGACTTGGCTTGAATTTGTAATTCTCCTGCCCCAGTGTCCCAGAATACTGGGATTATAGGCATGCACCACCATGCGCACAGATACAGTTTAGTTTTTAAGTGGGGCACAGTAAGAGATTATCAATGAAAGCTAATAATAAAATAGAACAATTATAATATTGTAATAAAAAGTCTGTGAATATGGTCTCTTAATCTTAAAATATCTTATCATACTCTTAGGTTTTTGTATTGCTGTTGACAGTAAGTAACTAAAACTATAAGTCACGGGGGAATTACTGGATTGCCTTAGAACCTTGCTACTCAGAGTATAGTCCGTGGAGTCGGGGCATTGGCAACCCCTCAGGAGGTTGTTGGAAATACAGAATCTCAGGCTTTGCTCCAGACCTAGAGAATCAGAATCTGTACTTTGACACGATTGATAAGTGATTCGTGTGCACATTAAAAATTGGGAAATAGTGTCTTAGAACAAGGTTATCAGCCTTGGCTAAATGTTTAGATCTTCTGAGGACTTTCAGGATGCCTGAACCATACTGCAAGAAATTTAGATCTAACTGGGCTTGGTGTCAGATGCCTGTAATCTCAGTACTTGGAAGGCTGGGGCAGGAGGATCGCTATGAATTGGAGGCTAGCCTGAGCTGCATAACGAAATCCTGTCTGAAAAAGAAAGAAGGAAAGAAAGAAGGAAGGAAGGAAGGAAGGAAGGAAGGAAGGAAGGAAGGAAGAAAGAAAATAAATTTAGATTTAATAGGATGACCATGGATCAGTATCAGTATTTTTCTTTTGAAGTTTCTTTAGATAGTTCTAATGGGCGGCCAAAATCGATGTATTACATTAAAATTCTGTGATTCACCCAGGGGAAATTTGTCGTCAGAAAAGCATGCCTTCAGCTTTTCTCATTCATCCTTGCCTAGTAAGTGTAGTCTCCATATCATTGATGGTTCAGATACCTTTGGTGGCAGTTTGGCAGCATCTGTCACATTTACAAACAGCTATTTGCTTTGGTTTAACATTTCCTCTTCTATTTGTGTCTGTCCTGAAGGTAAAGTAGTGTGGGAAGAGGAGTGGCCGCCTTTCCCTGCTAGTTAGCATCACTAAAGACATCTGTATTGAGGACATTTCTGGCTCTCATCCTTCCTTCACTTAGTGCCCTGTGCTGTGGGCAGGCACTTGGCATGCTTCTCTTCCGCCCTAGGGAAGTGTCATTGATCTGTACGTCATTGGCACTCCATTTCCCAAAGAGTCTCAAGTCAGGGTCTACACCAGCGGTGGTAACCTTGGCGTGTGTGCCACACCACGGGCTGTTTATATCACTGAGAGCTCTAAAAGGTTCGGTATCACTGATCTCCACCATTGCAGGTGTGGCTGTTTCCCACAGAATATTCCTGAGGGCACAGCTGGAGCATCTCTGTTGCTGTGCGTGGACCATGTACCACCCTGGTGCAGATAGGAGAGCTGACCTTTCTCTTGGTTTTCGGAATAGTACTCAGTTTTGGTTCTCTCTCTCTCTGTCTCTCTGCTTTTCTTTTTTGAGACAAGGTCTTGTTGTGTAGTTCAGTTTGGCCTTGAACATACTATGTAACCCAGGCTGGCCTGGGACTGAGTAATCCTCCTGCTTCAGCCTCCTGAGTACTGGGACTGCCGATGTGTGCCACCATGCCTGGCAAAGCAGCAGTTTTTGCGGTGCTGGAGATTGAACCCAGAGCCTTGTGCATGTCAGGCAAATGCTCTGTCACTGAATTTTACTCCCAGCCCACTCACTTTCGGTTCTTTATACTGCCCTGGTGACTGCCCTTCCTTCCTCCCATCCATCCGTCTGTCCCTCCATCCATGGTCATGGTTTGAGGCAGGGTCTTACAGTGCAGTGCAGGCCGGCTTCAAACCCCTGCCTTAGCTTCTTGAGTGCTGGGATGACAGTTGTGCTGCACCATACCCAGCACTATGTTAGCTGTTCTTTCTCCGTCTCCTTTGCTGGTTTCTTCATTTTCCTGCCTCTAAGTAGTGGAATCCTCCAGGACTCCGTCCTGACGTGGCTTTTCCACGTCTGCAGTGTCCTTAGGCCATCACATGCACCTCATGTCGGTAGATACCACGTGTGCATTGGTGACTCCGGGCCCACACCCCGTGCCTGAGTTGCAGATCTCTTCTCTCACAGTTCTCTTGGCATCTAGACCCGCAGCTCTCACAGACCTCTCAAGTGAGCCTGCCTAAGTTGCTCTTAACCTTTACTCAAGTTGGAGGCGGGAAAACCACTTCCGGTCTTTACTGTCTCAGAAACTGGCACCTTCATTATTCTCCTTTCCTGACCAAGAAAAACTGAAAACCTTGGAAACTGTTCCTTTTGCTCTTTTCTCTTTCCCACCCTACACGTAGTCCATCAACAGATCCTTTGAAAAATACCTAGTGTCTGACCACGTCTGACTGCATGCTGCGGCTCTGACCCAGTGTCCCTTGCCAGGTGACTGTGACTGTCCCACCCCCTCAGCCTCCCGACTACCTCAGAGGCCTTTCTGCTTCCACCTGCAGCCAGACAGCCGGAGAGAGTCTTTAAAACCCGAGAAACCCTGATCCTATCGGGTCCTTGCTTCGCCTTTGTTCACAACCATCCGGAGACTTTCCGGAGCTCACGCAGCGCCCTTCCAGTCCTCCTCAGCCTCCACCCACTGCTCACTCCCCGGCCTTGGGCCTTTTGCACCGTCCGTTCCCTCTGCTGGAAATGTTCCATTCCCAGACAGCATCCAGCTTATTCATTTATTTCCTTTATGTCACCTCCTCACACAGGCCTCCCCAAGCCGCTGCTTCCACACTTCCGTGGTCCTCTCCTATCCACGCTTTTGCTTTGTAAGCTTTCAGTTACCCGTGGTCAGCCACAGTCTAAAAATATTAAGAGGAAAATTCCAGAGATGCACAGTCTGTTTTAAATCGCACACCATTCTAGGTAGCAGTCTTTTGAAATCTCACATCTTCCTGCTGTGACCCACCCAGGATGTAAATCATCTCTTAAGTGGTGTGTCCACATTGTTATCAAACCCAACAGTTGTAAGCTGGGTGTGGTGGTGCATGCCTGTAATCCCAGCGTTTGGGAGGCTGAGGCAGGAGGATTGCCATACATTAGAAGCCAGTGTAGACTACATAGGCCAGCCTGAATTGCGTAGTGAGACCCTGTCTCAAAAAAAAAACACAAAACAAAAACAAGCAGTTGTGGTATCACAGTGCTTCACCCTTATTTTACTTAAGTAGCCCTTATTTTACTTAAAAATGCTCCTAAAGTGTACGAGTAATGATGCTGACAGTTTTATTACAGGATATTGTACTTGTTTTTAATAGTTATTGTTGTTAATTTCTTACTGTGCCTCATTTCTAAATCAATCTTAATCGTAGTTATATGTATATAGGAGAAAATGATTGAGTGCTGGGATCCTTCCATGATTCTGGTTGCAGAATTTGTCCCATGGTTCTGGTCGCAACTGAATTGCAAGCATCCAGAATGTGGAAAGAATTAAGTTCATGAGCCAAGGTACTGCTGTGGAGGGTTTGGTGCCACTTATTTAAGGTGTCTTCTGAAGGGATCTTGGAACGAATGGCCTGTAGGGAAGGGGGACTGCTGTAGTAGGAGGCCCTTCCTTGCCCACTTAGCTCCATACTCTATTTTGCTTTGTGGCACTTATACCATATTTTGTTTATTGTCTCATACTTTGCTATAAGCTCCTTGAGGGCAAGAGCTTTTTATCTGGTTTGCTTACTATGTAATTTTATTTTATGAACAAAACCTAAGATGGGTAGACACAGGTACTTGTTGACCCAGTAATAGGCGTGTGCTAAATTGTATGTGTACAAGGGTATATGTTGCATATTATTATTATTATTATTATTTTTTTGAGACAGGTTCTCTCTTCATAGTGCAGGCTGGCTTTGAACTTACTATGTAGCCCAGGCTGGCCTCCAACTTGCAGCGATCCTCCAGCCTCAGCCTCTGGAGTGTTGGAATTACAGGTGTGAGCCACCACACCTGCCTGCTTTATTATTTTTAATAGCAAAAGAAAAACCAGAATGGCCGTCAGTCGGGTGCTGCTTTGTAAACAATGGCACCTTTTGAAATGCAGTATTAAAAAATGGTAAGACACTACACTGTATAGGGCTTATCATACATATACTCGTGCACAACTGCAAAATATGGTAAGTAAAAAAATGTAGACTCTGTGTCTGTTTTTTTGTGTGTGTGGAGGAATTCATGTGTAAATGTATATTGTAGCTTCTCAGAAGGGTCCTTTCCTGACTGTTTGAGGGTGTGATCTTTCTGCCGTGGGGCTGTTTGAACAAATTAGGGAGAAAGACTCCTCTCTTCCTAATTTGGTTAGATATGGTTTATAAATGATTATAAAGGAAAACCTGTGTTAATCAACCACTCACTAACCCTGGTCATATTTCAAAAAAAGGGGGAGAGGCTGTCATTTATTGTTCTTTTGGGTGGATGTGTATATTGTCCCTGCTAAAAGCTGAGTTGTACTGGCTCAAGACCCACAAGTGATAAGGCTCCCTTATAGATAAAAGAGCTGGTGGCTCTTCTGATAGGTTTTAAAAAAAAAAAAAAATTTATCCGGTGAAATACTGGCCAAATACTGGCTTGCAGTGAGTTTCATCCTTCTCATGGCCAGTTAATTTTATGTGCTATCTTTTTGTCCTCTGTTAAGCTATTCTTTTCTTTTTGTCCCAAGCAAGGAGGGGCGGAACTTTTCACTGGTTCAGTTATCTTGACTTTGTTGGACCCTCATGTCCTGCTCTTGCCTTTGTCCTGGCCTGGACGTTGCCTGTTTTTGTGAAGGAGGAGGAGATGTTTCCAGCCCAGGGACATTAGCTCTTTTCCTTCATGGTTTCCTTCATAACACTGGGCTCCTCAGGGAGAGACTGTCAACTTTCCAACACGTGGCAATGAAGGAGTGTGGTTCTCTTAGTGACTTCTGTGACACCTCTTTGGAAGATGATGCAGTTGTGGGCCCTGACTCTCCGCTGCAGCACCTTCTCCTGTGCTGTGCTGGGAGGCCTGGTACGTTATTTTAGCCCTTCCTGAAGCTTTTTGAGTAACCTAGAAAACATACTTAGAGCGTACTAGACTAGGTATGGTTTAACTTTTGGGTTGAGTGAGCCCCAGCAGTGGGGTTGTGGCACTCAGGTGCGCACCTGCAGGCTTCTCAGAGCGTCTCAGGTGCGTGGTAGAAGTAAAACAGTCGCTTTCCCGCTTTCCGCCCGCGTCTGAAGAACAAGTAGCCGGCTGTTATGTTTGTTTTTCTGAAGTCATTCTCTTACACCTCACCGTATCCAGTGCCTAATGTGAGTGGAAAGGGTACTATTTATGAAAGGCACATCGTAGCGTTCCAAGACTGTAAATTATAGAAGTACCGTTTGCATTTCTCATTGACCAATTTTGGTACCACGAAGATGAATGTGTTTCCGAGTGTTGGCCGTGACCCATTTGCTTCTTAATTTATTACAAAAACACAACATTTTTCCTTTTAATCTTTGTGTTTAAGTTATGAAGAAGCTACTAGAAAAGTCTTGATTTATTCCAGAGTCGAGGAAATTTCTTATCTGTATGTTTATGATGTTGTAGTAACTGGGTAATGAGAGTCTGTTAGTTGTGAGAAAAATGTTGCCAGCAACAAATAGTCCGCTATCAGGTGTTTGCTCCATAGCAGGGTACTAGACTGAGGGAAGAGGTGTAGAACACATTCAGGTTACTCGGAGCAACACAGACGCTAGGCGCTTGCAGCTGAGTGGGCCAAATGGAGCATTTAGAGTCAGCCAGAGTCAGTTCCTGGCAGGAAGTCACTTTCCTCCTCAACCTCTCTTACGCCTCAGTACAATGGGGATAATAATACTGTATGTAGTACCTTAAGGTGGTTCTGATAACAAGATGATGTATAATAAGGTCTTATGACCTGTTCTTATGTGATTCCTATAACTCATGTGAACATATTTTAGATGACCATAAAAATGATTCTTTTTTTTTTTTGTCTTTTTGAGGCAGGGTCTCACTATGCAATTGAGGCTGGCCTTGAGCTCACTTTGTAGCCCAGGCTGGTCTCAAACTCCCAACAATCCTTCTGTCTCAGCCTGCTGAGTGCTGGGATTACAGGGGTGCACCACCATGCCCGGCAAAAATGATTCTTTGCTTTAAAAAAAATTTTTTTTTTTTTTGAAATTTTGAGACAGGGTCTCGCTATGCTAGGCCAGCCTCGAGCTCACTTTGTAGCCCAGGCTGGTCTTGAATTTGCAACAATCCTCCTGTCTCAGCCTCCCAAGTGCTGGGATTACAGGCATGCGCCACCACGCCCGGCTTAAAAATTTTTTTAAAACACGGTCTCTGTGTATAGCCTAGGCTAACATTGAATTTATAGCAGTCTTCCTGCCTTGACCTCCCCAGTGCTGGGATTACAGGTGTGGGCTACTGCGCCCAGCTTTTTGCTTATTTTTAATAAGTTCTGATAGTAGGGACAGGTGGATCCTCGGTGTATAGGGTACTTTAAACATTCAGGAAGTAAAATGAAAGAAAGGAAAGGAAAATTGCTTTTTAGAATAGCAAGGTTGGATAGTGCAGGATTATAATTAAACTAAGTTCATAAGAGGAAGAGGAAATATACTCAGTTCTGCAGAAAAAATAAATAAATTGTGGGGAAGAAAATACTGAGTCAGCTCTAAGATTCATTTACTGTGACTTCAAGGCCAAATTGTAGATAGCCTTCTAACATAAATAGCCTGCAGTAAATATTCACAGTTATGTTTATGTTACCATTGATCTGCTTATTATTGTGATCTCACGGTAGACATTTTCATTTCCTTGCCTTTATTTGATTTTCATCTTATTTTAATAAGACTGTATTACCCTTGGCTCATTCAGCATGGTGATACTGGGAAGCATCATATTTCTGATATGATAAGAAGCATATGGCTGGGTGTGGTGGCACATACCTGTAATTCCAGAACTCAGGAGGCAGAGGCAGAAGGATTACCATGAGTTTAAAGCCAGACTGGACTGCATAGCAAGACCTTGTCTTAAAAAAAAAAAAAAAGGGAAGCATATATTTCTGATATGTGAGCTCAGTACTTTGAAAAGAAAGGTTTATTGGGGCTGGGGATTTAGCTCAGCGGCAAAAGCGCCTGCCTGGCATGCGCAAGGTCGTGAGTTCGGTTCCCGGTACTGGAGAAAAACAAAACAAAAAAAATAAATAAAGAAAGAAAGAAAGGTTTATTTCAGCTGGCAAAAAAACCAGAATTCTCTCCCAAAGAAAATAGATGAGAGAAGCTAGACATAATGAGGAAGTTCATGTTCCATTCATTTATTCATCAAATATTTATCAAGTTCTGGGTGCTGTGGGAGGTGCGCCTAGCTGATTGTCCTGTTGATACGTATCTTAGTCACTTGTGCCTGGGACAGAATACCTCAGACTTACAACTTAAAGGAGGAGAGTGTCACACCCCCATGATTCACCTCTGACCAAGCCCTACCCTCAGCACACTCGGCTCCGAACTCATCAATCCACTGAGGGGTACAGCACCCACTTAACCCAGTCACCTTATAGAAGCCCTACCTTTGAACACACAAGGCCTTTGGGGGATGTTTTAGGTCTAAACCATGACAGCAAGCCATCAGGACTTTTCAGATTCCCCTTTTTCTACTTGAAGATTAAATGATGGATGTCTAAATCCAAAATTATTGCTCTTTGTAGGTTTTCATTGCTTACTGCTACTATAAAGGAAAAGTACTTTAAAAAATTTTTATCTTGCATGTAACCAGTTGACCTGCTGACTAAACATATCAAATAATTCATTGTCTACTTAGAAAATCCAAGGAAATCATACTATTTTACAGCCCTTTCTCCTCCTCCTCTTTTTCTTTTTCTTTTTTTTTCATTTTTTTGAGACAGGGTTTCACTATGTAGCCCACACCTCTTAAAGCTTTCTTTCAAAAGCTTAAAAAAGTTTTTAAAAATTGACCTGGATCTATGGAAATTCTTAAATAGTGAGGGCATTCTTAACTTGTTCCTTGTTAAGGGGAATGTATTGAACGTTTTCTCGTTAGATATAATGTGTGCTATTGGTTCGTTACCAAGTGAAGACTTTTTTTTTCTGTTCCTGGCTTACTAGTTTAAAAAATCAAGAATGAATGGAGTGGCTTCAAGGACTTAGCATCTATGCAACTTTTTTTTTCTGCATCAGTGTGATTTTTTTTTGCTTTTTGAGACAGAGTCTTGGTATGTAGTTCAGGCTGGCCTTGAACTCAGTGTGATCTTTCTGCCTCAGCCTCCCAAGTGTTGGGATTGCAGGCATGCCTCACCACGCCCAGCTGCATTAGTCTTTTTTTGTTTTTTGTTTTTTTCCCAGTACCAGGAATCAAACTCATGACCTCGCGCTTGCCAGGCAGGTGCTGTGCCGCTGAGCTAAATCCCCAGCCCTGCATTAGTCTTTTGATACAGTTAATTGATTACTTACTGACCTATGCTTACATTTATACTTGGACTAAATGCTACTTTGTAATGGGCTGTTTGCTAATTTTTAAATGGAATTTTGAATTTATTCTTTTTTTTTGTTTACTGTGCTTTCTTTTCGTCTCCTTTTTTCCATTTCTTTAGTTTGATTGATTAGGTTTGCATTGTTCAATTTAATTTTTTCCATATTTTATTTCCTATTTCTGTTTGAGTGATATTCATAATTACATTTGTTTATCATAGGAAGATGTTAGTATCTGTAACTTTCTTTGGAACAAAGAGAGATCTTTGGGCTTGCTTGTACTTCCCCTTCTAGGTTTTATTGATAGCACTCTGAATTTGAGTTCATAATTATGACTTAATAGAAGTTAATGTTCTTTCTATTATGAATGCTTTAGTGGTTGCTTAAAACCTGACCATAGCATCAGCTGTCTGTTAAACTAATATTTTTTGTTGGAATTTTGACAAGAATTTTTTTTTTTTGTTGGTTTTTCTCTGGTACCGGGAACCGAACTCACGACCTTGCACATGCCAGGCAGGCGCTTTTGCCGCTGAGCTAAATCCCCAGCCCCTTGACAAGAATTTTTAACAAGAATTTTTTCTTGTTATAGTGCGGGGGATTGAACTCAAGTCCTTGTATATGCTTAGCATGCACGCATTCTACCACTGAGCTACACTTCCAGCTTAATGTCTTCTTCCTTGAACAAAGCTTTATTCTGATTTATTTTTTAATGTGGTGCATTCTGCCTGTATGTTAAGGAGAGGAAAGGAGGAGCCCCTAGATGGTATACCTCATGTAAAGCACCTGGGTGTGGATCCATTGTTTGTTTGTTTTTCTGGTACTGGGAATCAAAGTCACGACCTTGTGCTTGCCAGGCAGGCACTGTGCTGCTGAGCTAAATCCCCAGCCCCTCATTGTTCTTTTCATATCTGCTCCGAGACTCTATAGGCCTTTTAAGACTGGGGCAGGTGTGGGATGAGGGAGGGAGAGGAAAGCGTGGAGACCCCCAGGTGCTTGAGCTTGTTCTTACGTTCCTGCTGGGATCTGTGGCTGGCAACAAGACCACAGGCTAGATGGCTCTGCTCAACTGGGGAAGTGGGAGGAGCTTCTCTGCAGATGGAAGATCTCAGAGCTGCCCCCCAAATTCCCTTCCTCTCTGTTCCTTCATGTTGCGCTGGCAACTCACCTGACCCCCCCCCCCACTCCGTCTTTTAATCACCCCAACCTCCCCTCCCATTGCTTCATCCTGCTCGCAGTGCTTTTGCACTGTTGTCACTGATTAGGTGCCCCCCCAGCTCTATGTGGAAAATCCCATCTTCGTCTCTTCCAGAATTTTCAGCGGTGCCCCATTTAGTTTCTCAGTTAGGCTAAATTTGATTTTTTTCTGTGTATTTGATCCTGTCTGCTGAATCTCTTCCAAAAATTCCTAAAAATTTTTTATTGACTGAGGGCATAAATCCCTGTTTTCTGGCTTTTTTTTCTTTTTTTATGGGATTCTTTTTCTTTTTCTTTTTCTTTTGTCATTTCCTGGGAACATAGAGTAACACAAGAGTCAAACAC